AGTTCTTTGTACAGCTGCTTCTGAAGTTTAGATAATTAGTGTCCATAAAATGAAAATAAACAGTAAAGGTATCTCCCTCCCTCTAATGTTATTTAAGGAAAGTCTGCATAAAATTGCTGTGAGCAGGATATATACAACACATTTTATTTCAAAGGGCTGAAATGATACCATCTACATTAGAAAACTCCATTTTTCCAGGGACTAATTATTCAGTTTGTTCTTTTGGCCTATTTGTCATGCCACCTATATTTTTCTATTTTATTAGTCAAAAATCTCAGAAAGTAAATTAAATCTTATTCCAAACTTTTCAAAGACATTAATGATAACAGCAGGAATTTTATTGGGGAAGAGTTTATAAGAAATCTGTCGATTCCCAGTTAATTTCTCAGTATTTTCCACATGTCCACATGCATGTCTTCCCTGAAGATGACCAACAGATTCCAATGATCAGATTCATTGGCTTCCTTTTATCCCTCTTGACTTACTACCACAACTCTGTTTCCTGGGAACTCTTTTCCAAGTTTCTGAGACAAAACATTTCTGGGTTACATGCTCTTAAGGTAAAGGGTCTCAACTTTCTCAAATGCAACACCACCATTTTATAGCAATTATTTTGTAATGCTAGCTTCACTAACCAGAACTGAAATAATATAGCCCATCTATACATATATGCCCCCAAAGCATTTGATATGTATCTAACCTGAATCAAGCTCTTTTAAAACAACTGTACAGATAACGTAAAATAAGTTTTCATGTCTTTGGCTCTCCACTTCCTTGATAAACCTGCTCCAGCTGTTATGACTCCAGTAACACGTCAAGAGAAAAAATATACATGTGTATGTGCAATCATATGCACACATATATACACACATGCACATATGTGTGTGAGTATATGACATCTGTGTGTATTTTTTACCTTTAAACATTTCTAGTCCTATTTCTGTTACAAACCCTTTAATCTGCACGCAGTGGGTACAAACAAACATAATTCTCAGCCTGCGATATTAGCACTCGGGTACTGCTGCGGCAGGCAGCATCCAGTACGACTCCCAATGATCACCACCTCCTGGTATCCATGTCTTGTCAATCACCTCCCTTGGGTGTGGGTGGAACCTAGTAATTTGCTTCAGATGAACAGTATACAATAAAGGTGTTGGAATGTCACTTGCTGATTTTTGACAAAGACTGTGACTTCCATGTTAGTTCCCTCTCTTGCCAGCACTGATGTTTTGAGATGCTCTATGGACAGGCCCCCATGGCAAGGAATACAGGCAGGTGTCCATCCATGAGCGTGCAAAGGACAGAAGCCCCAGCGGAACGGAGTCCTTCCAATCCATCTCAGTGAGCTAAGGAAGCACATCATTCCCAGGGGGCCCTGAGATGACTACAGCTTTGAGAAATGCCCATAGCCAGAGAAACCACAGACTGGGAGATAACAAATGTTGTTTTAAGCCTCTAAGTTTTGGGATAATTTGTTACACAATAATAGCTAACTAATACATTGTTCAAAGGAATTCATTCATTAAGAAATTTCCAAGGCCGTTGCAATTCACAGAGTTGAACTTTTTATTAAAAAAAACCAAGGGGTGATCTGTAGTAGAGGTTTGCATCTGACACTCCACTTGGCTAGGATATGTCTTAGTACAATAGCTTACTGCCACTCTCTCTAATGAGTCTTCCAAGTAAGCTAACCAAATCCACAAAAACAGATTTGTTTTTCAAACTTACTCAATTTGAAGAGACATTGCATTTTATGACCTTCATATTTTCCCAAAGAATGACTAAGTCTAAACAATAAAAGCCAAAACAATATTGAAAGTAAGAAATATTTAGTCTCATAAACATAACCACATCAAAAAAGCCTGATTATTCTGAACAGGGCATTACAGCTTTCTGTAAACAGATTTGGTGCATGCCACGTGACTCATAGCAATGGAAAGTACTGTGTGTTTAGCAAATAATTCCCAGTTAAATTCCAAGGAATTGCTCATTGTAGGAAGGAGAGTTTTTAAGTCTAGCTTCCTCTGAGATTGTCATTAAAAAATGTGTGTGTGTGTGTGTGTGTGTGTGTGTGTGTGTGTGTGTGTGTTCTGCTACTTGACATCTGTCTACCTGTTCTTCAAATGACCACACATACTCATGTCTAGAAGACACAAAGCAAATGGAGTGCATCTGAGAGGGAAATAATTGGTGTCAGTTGTATCCTACAAATACAGGCCTTTGGGCACAAAGGTATCCTGGAGTAGCAGGCCCTATTCATACATTTCTTGATGTCTCATTATGAACTTACCTGAGGTAATCACAAAGAGATTCAGAATCCAGAATGCTTCCTGAGTGTTCTTTCAGTGCACACAAAAGCTTTGAAACCCAGACAACAGGGCAGGACAATCATATTTAACTAATCAAAAAAGACAGATCTCGTTTATACTTTCTGACAGATGAATTCACACAGCTTTATCTAATTTAATGTTGTTGCCAAAAAGCTTCACTTATTTGTTCCATGTCCTATTCTGGAGTTACACAGAAGGATTTTCATAAATATTTTATATGTATTTTTTACATTATAGAACTACTTTGGCAATGGTCTTCCCTTTTTTGCATGCCTTCTGGTGCTACAGTTGTAGGAACAGAAGACAGAGGGCACTCAGGAGCAGGAAGACGGTAATGAGCCCCTCTGGTCATCCCCTCCCCTCTTCGGGGCTTGCTTTTTGTAGCTCTGCTGGTTAGTGCAGGATCATCTTCTTCCCACTTTTGGAAGCTCAGTAGAGAGCTGACTTAGCAGGTCCAACTTGGCCCAAAGCAACAAAGGTCAGATACCAAGCGGTGGGCAGCAGAGGCTCCGCCTTCCCCACCAGGCCACCTTTCCAATCAGGGAGCCTTCGCGGGTGCAAGAGTCACTTACACATTCACTGCACTCTATTCCATAAATGTGGCAGGGGTGTCCAAACTTTTGGCATTTCTGGGCCACAGTGGTAGAAGAAGAACTGTCTTCGGCCACACATTAAATACACAAACGCTGACGAAAACTGACGAGCAGAAAAAAGTGTTAAGTGGATTTACGATTTTGTGTTGGGCTATATTCATAGCCATCCTGGGCCGCATGTGGCCCATGGGCAATGGGTTGGACACCCCTGGAGCATACCAGGGGTGGGAAAATGAATAGTTTTACTGTAGATATAAACTCTACAATGGTTAGCAAAGAAAAACACAAGATGCTCAGTTATATTCAAATTTCAGAGTAACGACAAAGGATTTTTAGTGCAAATGTATTCCATGTGTAATATTTGGGATACACTTATACTAAAAATTATTGTTTACCTGAAATTCAAATTTAACTGGGGATGCTATATTTCATGTGGTAACCAAACTCCCCCCTGCTATGTCAGCTACAGTGCACTGTGGCTTCTTTTTGCTTAACCTAAGTCACAGAGAGCTCCAGGCATTGTGTGTGCTTCTACCATTTCTCCGCTTTTGAGATTTTCCTCAGTAAACTGTATTTTCTGTCTGCAGAGTGCAGCATTAGTGTGCGTCTGCGATCCCTGCATGGCACAGAAGAAGGAACTGATTTACTTTTCCTACCATAATAATCTGGAGTACAACCACAGGCAATCCAACGAAGAAAAATATTCCTGAACTCTGCCAGTTATCTGTCCTTGGGCAAGTTTATGTATCTCTTGAGGCTCTGGTTGTTCTGACTCCAATAACCCCTACAGCACTAACACTGTATGATCCCATGATCCTAAATAAACTTTGCCTTGTTCCTGATGACCCACTGGAGGTCATGCTTTCATGTTTTGGAAGCAGAGGAAACAACCTCAAAATTTAAAGAAAACTGAGGGATTCTCTAAAAGATGATCTTTGCATTTAATTAAAACTCTTTTGTTTCACAAGAAATGTTACCTTCAGTCTAAAAAGGCACCTTAAATATTTCAGCAACAATAGCTGTTATTCATCAACCGTAACTTTAAATACCTGTCATTTCCTGGACAGTCAGTACCGAATAACTTTCATTCCGAATCATTACAAAAGCACTCAACTATTTCATTTCTTTGACTCCTGCGTGGTATTGCTGAGAGACTATAAAGCATTCTGTAAATTCCATGAAAGGTATCGATGTACAAAGGGCAAATCCTCTAAAGATTCTCCAAATAGTTTGATTTATATAACATTTCTCTGTGCAAATAATTCATTTGCTAATTCATTTTACCTTCAACTTAACTAACCTGCTGCTATTAAAAGACAATGATGATGTTTTCTCTAATTAAATTAAATGACATGGGCTCTTGTAATCTGAATGCTAAGCCCTGCTTTCAAGTGATTAACAACTTCTTCACCAACATCTTCAGCACAACACGAAAGAAATAAGTGACACCAAAATATACAAATGGCTAAGAGTTACAACATTAGGGTTGTCAGTTAAATACAAAAGTCCAGTTAAATTTGGATTTCAAATTTCAACTTTCAAATTTGGAACACACTTAAAATTATTTATTATCTGAAATTCAAATTTAACTGGGCATTCTGTATTATTGTTTGCATATATGGCAATTCTATGTGGACTATCTAGCATGAGATATCTGACAATTTTCATCTTTTTTCCCTAATCAAAACACTTGTTTTCATTAAAAAAAATATTTTCATTATTTACTTTTAGAAAGAGGGGAAGTGAGGGAGAAAGAGAGGGAAACATCAATGTGCAATGGAAACAATGATTGGTTGCTCAGCCCAGGCACGTGCCCCAACCAGAAATCAAACCAGCAACCTTTCAGTCTTCAGGACAATGCCCAACCCACTGAAGCACATCAGTCAGGACTTGTTTTGATTTTTACTTTTCCCCTTGAGTCAACATGTTATATCTACTATAGAACATTGATAGATGAGTACTTTTCCAGCCTATTTTCTCTTATTAATATGTCTTTGCTTTTAACAAAGTCAGGTTGCCACTATTCAAACTGTAGTCTATAGAACACACAATCTGAAGAGACAAACATTTTACCTACCTGTGGGTAAAATATGAGAAGACCACACAGTAAAATATTTCTTTTTTTTACTTCTTTCGCTAGTTCTCTGATCTGCATTAGGTTTTCCATTTTCTGATCAACAGGTACTGATTTGTAATCAAGAAAATGCACCTGCAAAGTAATATAAAAGTTAACCGTTAGGATACCATTCCTTCACTTTTCTTTGAAAGTGTAACATTAAAGAATCTACAATTATAAGATTGCAATTCTTTTTATCAATTTGTGTTAATGTCTAGTCAATCATTCCAAGCCATAAATACTTAACATGATCAATGAATCATCCTTTATAAATGCAGATGCATGGAGATTACAATGCTGAAAAACATAAAGTACTAATATTCCGTGTCAACCTGTGACAGAGTCAAACATGTTAAAAATATGATCTCACCAGTTCATTGAACTTAAATCATAATTTGTAATTTGAAACTAGGCTAGAAGTAAATATATGTGTTAAATTAATAATATCAATAAAATTCAAGAGTGCTTAACTAAGTACATAAAATTTTTAGAAGAATCTATTTTAAAATAATTAACTGGTTTCTTACAAGTAATAATCTATTCCTTAAATTAAATCTAGAAGAATTTTATACAGAATTATTTTTAGCAGTGTCAAAATAATGTTTTTCTTGAAATTACTCAACTATATTTTGAACATCATTTTTCAATTTTAAATTTTAAAGACTCAAGGTGATCTTTTCTCATTTCTCCAAATAACTGCAGTTTTACAGTACCTTTTTTCTTTTATGGAATATGAAAGTCATATAGTCTCCAAATGAACAATTTAAAATGCAAATGCACACATAGACTGAACATTTAGAAATAGATGTATTCGTTCACAATTCCAAATTTTAAGAACTCTCAAGAGTTGTAATTTGTTCAATTGTAGGTGTTCATTAACTAGAAGAATTTTAAGATATATCCCATCCTGATACTCTTCTACTAATCCCTTCCCTTTCCCTCTACTATTTTATATGAATATACACTCTATTAGAAAACAACAACAAAACTTCTTATCATATTTTTTTTGTAATATGAAAGAATAATTTTTGACCCATCACATTGCATTTTGTTTTTCAGGGAAAAAATACTTATACAACATCCATTATTACAGATAATTATACGATGATAATGTAATGTATATTAATCATTTCTTAGATTTTTTCATTAAATATATGTAATTAAAGACATATAACTGCTTTCCCCTGAAATATAAGGTGACAGAAAGACTTTTTTCCCCTTAAAAATGCTCAATTCATAAAGAAACCAAAAGAACAGACAAACAAGAAAATCAAGAACAAATAAAGGAAAAGTTTTCAGGTTTCTGGTCTATTGAATAGCTGAAGAAAAGACCATGTGACCCTAGGATCTTGAGCTCACGTCTTCTAGCTCTCTTTCCCTGAAAACTTACAATGGTGAAATTTCAGCCTTTTTTTTTTTTTTAACCAGGTAGCATTGCTATGATAAAAGTAACTCCTGGCTGTTGAACCACAGTCAGGCTGGAAGAACTGTAAGTGAACTATAAATACTAGAATTTCCTTCTGTGTAATTTAACTTGTAACCATGTGTTCCCATAGTTGGTACCTGGAAGCTAATTACTATTACCTGATGCAAAAGATGTTCATTCCTATTTGTAGTTTAAACCTTTTAAAAGGATGGCTCATATGCCACCTTCTGTGGTCCCCTTCCCTTACCCTTAAGAAACCAAGGTGAAGGAAAAAGTTGCAACAAAATAAAACAAAACAGCCCCTGTACTAATGTGAGTTGGTGAAATTAAGAGCTAAAACTGAAGAGACCTGTCTTTGTTCTGCCTTTCTTTTCCGCCCTATAGTCTTCGACAAAACTGGGCAAACTAGCACCACAAAGGCCTCTTCCAGTCTTTTGAATTTGAAATATCTAGGTGAACCTAAAATTGCTGCTGATGCGCTTGCTCGCAATAAAGTAGACTAATTCCACGAACTTAAGACAGTTCTGGAAATTATAGTCAAGATATGGATCTGAAGCCCGCGCGACGGACGTGGGGTTGGGGTGGGGGTGGGGTGGGGTTGGGAGGGGGCGCCTGGCGGCAGGTAAGATTCTCTCCTGACCCCTTGCGGCCAGATCATTACATGGCTCAATACCAGCTGGGCTGGGGCACAACACCGCCATTCAAGGACTTGAATTCTTTTGCCTGTGATCACCCTGCTACTTAGATACCATGAAACGACAGGGGACTACATGCCCAGCAGATTTTACACGGGCAGAACGCCCAGGCGGTTTGCAGTGCACGCGCAGGGCGACCTCAGTGCCAGCCTGGACAGACAGGCATTTCTTGTTTAATAGGATGTGAGTTTTCCTGAGAAATTTTAAGTGCTGAAAAATCTCATACTGATACAAGGGAGAAGGAGGAGGGTTTGTGGGGAAAATAGCACAAGGACAGTAAAGACAAAAACCACTCTGATTTGTAATTACAGCCATCACAGAGATTTAAAACGCACAAAAACAAGAGTGAAAATAATGGAAACACTTTGAAAGGAGGACGAATGATTAATAAGCATTCGATAAAATGGGGAATGGATGTCTCGGCTGCGAAGCCGCCCTTCAGGTTGGCCCAGGAGGAAGTCAGCCACCGCCCTTCAGGTTGGCCCAGGAGGAAGTCAGCCACCGCCAAGAGCCAGGGGACCTCTGGGAGGTCAGAGCGGGAGCCGGTGCTTGCTTTTCATTTTCCCAGGGGTGTACTAAAGGAGAGCCTGCAGCTATTTTTTTACTGTGAGTTAATTACATTAACTACTAATCACAGAAGTAAATCATAACTTTAGGAACGTAAACAAGGTAGAACTAAAACTGTAGACGAGAATAAATTATATTGGAATGAGAATGTTCAATGGATAATTAAGATATGCTGAATTGGTGTTTTGCTTTGGAGGCCAGAAATTAGAAACTTCACAACTAACACTAATTATGCATATTTTAAAGTGATGTTATTTATTTAAGCCATATACAACTATATTTTATAGTTTCTAACTTGCAGAGGGATAAAAGTATTATGTATATCAATGCAGCAATGCATAAGGAGAAAGCAGCAAACAAAGAAAATGGCCAACAGCAACAACAAAATAAAGTAAGCTTGTAGAAAGAATCCAAAATACAAAACTAATAAAAATAAATGTAATACACTTAATTATTTCATAAGAGACAATACAAATAACTCTTTCATTTATCAGATTGGATTTTTAAGAAAAATCTAACAATACACTAGTTATAAGATAAATATCAAAACATTACTATCCTGAAAAGTACAAAAGAAAAAGATGAAAAAGACATTCCATGCAATTCTACCAAAAATAAGTGTTTTAGCAATATAGTGACCCAGTAGGACTTAAGATAAAAAATATTAATATAGATAAAAAGGAATAGTACATAATAAAAATTATAATCATAATGTTATTATGAAGAACATAGATTTGTATGCACAAAGCAAAAAACTGACTAAATACTAAGAACACAATTTCTGCTTGTTCTTATCTAGGAAAAGTTGCATATGAGCTTATGCTACTTCTGTATTACATGGGCCTAACTCCCTTATTTATCAATCCCATGTAACCTAATTTTTCTTAGAAAGCCATGTGCTATAGCAAAAATACTGAGGTTGAACTAAAGATCATGGTACCATGGTTTTTATAAGTTCTTGCCAAGCCATGAGACATCTAAACAGGGACAAGAAGACTTTCCACTCAGCTACAGATCTATAAGATACAACATACTCTAGATCCTTGGAAAGAAAAAAGTAACAACACACACACACACACACAAAGAATCAGGCTAATGCTTTTCAGTGCAGATTTCATGAATTAAATTAAGGAAATGGTGCATAAAAGTGAGTTCCAGGCAAGCTATTCAGACATCTACAAACTGCCTATGCTATCCCACCAAAACAAGTACTTAAATTATAGGGAACCCTGGCTGGATATCTCAGTTAGAGTGTTGCCCGGATGTGCCAAGGTTACAGGTTCGATCTCCAGTCAAGCCCACGTGAGAAGCAACCAATGAGTGCATAAATAAATAGAACAACAAATCAATGTTTCTCTGTTTCTCTCTCAATCTCTCTCTGTTCCCCTGTCTCTAAAATCAATCTATAAAAAATGATTATAGGGAAACTTAATCGTGTAGTAAAAGAACATAGGGAATTAATACAGGTTTTCTTGAGTGCTTAGTATGTGCTGAACACTGTGCTAGTCGACATAATTAAATTTTAAGTAAACAGATGTTGACCTTAGGAAATGTATAACCTGGTTGACAAAATACAGGCATAAACCAATATGATGCGTCTCAAGAGTTCTCTTTCACCAGGCGGGAAGGCCTGATGACCTGTGAAAAGCAGAAGATAACCTCCAGCAGGTGTACTTCCTGATAGCAATATGGGAAAACTTGAATATATACTTCCCATTGTGCTACTAATTTTAACCTTTCAAATATACCAGCTACTTATGTGTTCCAGGAAGAATTTCAGTTGTTACAAGAACATAATCAATTTTAATCTTTTTATTTTTAAAAACTGGCCAGGCTTATATGATGACAGCAGAGAGTTGCAAAAATGATCATAAGAACTCAAAAGAAATGTAAATGGTTTTGCTCTAGTAAAACAAATGTACAGCCTGGACAGGCTACACCCATTGAAGTAAAGCAAAGCATTCCTCTAGGTTGAGTTCTTTGATCTCTTTTTTTTACTGTTCGCTAATCTGCTGCATGTAAATTACACTAACAGTACTTCCCAGTCAGGATGTCATTTCTAACCGTCCTTTTCCATGCACACATAAATGAAGATAAGGATTGCTTCCTGCCCCTAAAAATGTGCATTTTTAAAAGGTAGCAAATTCACTCCTATAAACCAGCAAATTGCTTGAAGGTATAACACATGGGTAGCTTCACAGCTTTGTGGGTGAGCCGGGTTTCCACCCACGAACTTTGGAAAAGGATTCTCTGCGCCTCACATCTTCTACATGCAGTTGTTGTACACATGCTTTGTATTTGTCTAGTAACCATTTCATATGCTCCTGGTCCCAGATGAATTTCAACTGACTTCTTATGTTTTAAAATATGATTTTTCACCTGTCTCTGAAGACAGGTACATTAAA